TCACAGAGACCCCCCCTTTGGGTTTCTGAAGCAGTAAATCTTTATGGAAGTAGATTGCCCAGTCTTCCTTCCACAGGGTGGCTGGTGGGTTTGAACCACCAACTTTCTGGTTAGCAGTCAGATGCCTTGGGCACTGTGCTACCGGTTATTGTTGTTGTTAAGTGCCGTCGAGTCATCACCAACTCATAGTGACCCTATGTACAACAGAATGAAACACTGCCTGTTCCTGTCCCAGCCTCATGACCCTTGCTATACCTGAGCCCATCATTGCAGCCACTGTGTCAGTCCATCTTGTTGAGGGCCTTCCCCTTTTTCATTGACCCTCCACTTTACCAAGCATGATAGCCTTCTCCACGGAATGGTCCCTTCTTACAACATGCCCAAAGTAGGTGAGACGAAGTTTAACCGCTCTCGCTTCCAAGGAGCATTCCAGATGCACTTCCTCCACAACAGATCTGTTAGTTCTTTTACCAGTCCATGGTATTCACAGTATTCTTCACCAACACGACAACTCAAAAGCATCAACTCTTCTTCGATCTACCTTATTCATTGTCCAGCTCTCACATGCATGATGTAGTCAATCTGATTCCTGCATATTCCATCTGGCAAGGTCCACATGTATAGCTGCCGTTTGTGTTGTTCATTGAAAAAAGGTACCAGAGCTCCTTTATATATATACCAGATTATTAGTGGTTACCAGGTATAGGAGGGAGGGGAAAAGGGTAAGCTTTTGTTTGCAGGGCATTGAGTTTATGCTCATAATGGTAGAATATTTTGGAAAAGGATAATAATAATGGTGGCACAACATCAAAAATGTCACCAATGTACCTGAGCTGTTAATGGGCATGTTGTTTTGTTATCAAATGTCTTGTTGTGTATGTTTTTACCACAATAAAAGTAAAAAAAAAAAAAAAGAAAGAAAGAAATTGGGTGGGTGATGAGAATAAAAGGGCTCACTATACTATTATACTGGATATATATTTTAGTTTAATAATATAATGAAAAAAATTTAAAATGAAGACAAAAAAAAAAAAAAAAAGTAGAACTTCTACTAACATCCCAAAACCCAAACCACAGCCACTGTCACTGGGTCAATGTTAACTCATGGTAACTGTATAGAACAGAGTAGAATTGCCTCATAGAGTTTACTGCTATAATCTTTATGGAAGCAGACTGCTACATCTTGCTTCTGCAGAGGAACTAGTGGGTTCAAACCACCGACCTTCTGGTTTGCAGCTGAGCACTTTTAACCACTGCCCAAATACAGTTATAACCTGTATTTAAAATACTGACATAAAACATACACTCCAACAAGATATTTATAAAGCTATAATGTTTTTAACTCACTGATATTACATGTTCACTAAAACCTTTGCTTTGAAATTTTTTGTACTAATGAAAGTCACGGGAGCTCTGGTGGCATAGTGCCTAAGGTATTTGACTGCTAACTAGCAGGCTGGAGGTTCAAACCCACCAACCACTCCCTCAGAAGGAAGGTTGGGCAATTTACTTCCGTAGTGATACTGCCTCGGAAACCCAAGGAGGGGGTTGCTATGAGTCGGATGCGACTCCACGGCAGTAAGTTTGGTTTTGTTTTTTTTAGTGAAAGTTGCAAAAAGGAAAATAAAATATACAATCATAATAAAAACTACTGTAGTCTTGTTATTTCTTCAGAAATGATATGTCATCACCACAAAATTGTCCTAGAGGTAAAGCTAATTAACTTTGCTAAAGAACCAGTTCATAGACAGTATAGCAATCATTTATTATTTCTGTTAAACAGTTAGCTTATCACTTATTTTTTCACTTGCCATTAAAATAGTAACTAACCAGCTATCATCAAATCAATTCCAACTCATGGCAACTCCATGTGAGTTAGAAGAGAACTGTGCTGCACAGTGTGTCCAATAGCTAGTTTTTTAGGAGATCACCAGGTCTTTCTTGCAAGGCAAATCTAGCTGAAATTGAATGGCCAACTTTTCCATTTAGCAGCCTAAGGCTAACAGTCTGCACTACCCAGGAACTCCACCCAGAGACTCTGCAATCAAAATCATTATTCCATTTGTAAACAACAGAATGGAAGTCCATAGGGGGTATGAATGGCTAATATGCTCGGCTGATAACTGAAAGGTTGGAGGTTCCAGTTACAGAGGTTCAAGTCCACCAGAGGTGCCTCAGAGGAAAGTCCTGGTGATCAACTTCCAAAACATCAGCCACTGGAAACCCTGTGAAGCACAGCTCTACTATGAAACCCTTGGGATCACCATGAGCTGGAAATGACTCAACAGCAACTGGCAAACATGAAAACACTACTCAGGAGGAGGCACTCGTGATCTGATTGCCAAAAGCACACAGGCAAAGCTGGAGACAAATTTCTTTTCTGTACTACTCTCTAGCTCCCGATCAGCAACTCTGGCAATCCATTTTTGAAAAGTAGTTGACAGCAGCAGATCAGAGATCCCCTTACTGTTTCACTCCCAACAACCAAATGAGAAAGCCACTTAGACACAGCTGACGATCACAGAAAAAATTATAAATGCTTCTTCAACATTAACTGAAGAAGTGGGCATGAGTTCCAGCCTAGCTTCCACCAATCTAAATGGATGATATTGGGCCTGTCCCTTATCTCTGGGCTTTATTTCTTACTTTATATGTAAACTGGGAGTCCTGGGTGGTACAATCAGTTAACATGCTCTACTACAAACCCAAGGGTTGAAGGTTCAAGTCCACCAAGCCGCTGAAAATCCTATTAAGAATAGCTCTATTCTGAGGCACATGGAGTCTCTCCCAACACAAGTCTACACAAGCAGTCTCAGAGTTATAAACATCTAACTTATGTACAACTGGTGGTCATAAACCAAACCCTCTGAGGTACATACAATGGTTTATAATAACAAATAGGTTCTATTTTGGATGCACATTAACTCATTATTATTACTACTGTATTATTATCTACTTCCGCAGTGCTATCGCCTCAAAACCCAAGGGGTCCCTATGAGTCAGCCGACTCCAGGGCACATAACACCAACACAACAGTATTATGTTAAAGATGTTTTAGTGTACCTGGAAGTGTTTCTTTAATGTTCTTTACACATAAGAAAGGTACACTATATACGAAGACAAATATTTGACTAACTTGACATTAGCTACAAACTTTACCTAACTGTTCCAACTTACATATAAATTAGACTTAAGAGACCGATTTAGGAACAGACCTTATCATAATCTGGGAATTGCCTATATATTCATCTCTGCTTTCTTCTAGTTCTTTTATGGTTCTGTTTTTACATTTAACTTTTTAATACATTCTGTCCAATGCACCTAGCTTTTCTGTTGCTCTGAAATATCAGTCATTGAAAACCCTATGCAATAAATTCTATTCTGACATACATAAGGTCACTATGCATGCTTTTTGGTTTTATGTGTAAAGTGAGGGGGTTAGCCTGCAGGAGGTAGAGGCAATTTAGCAATATGTATCAAGGACCAAACATGTTCATACTCCTGGAGCCAAAAGTTCCACTCAATGTGAGCTCAAGGAAGCCAGCCTTTACATTTTTTTAATTAATTAATTACCTCACCTAACAAAGAGGGGAACAGTTAAATTAATTATGGCCATTCATATGACTATTATAAAAATTTTGTTTCCAGAGAATATGTAATCACATTGTAAAATACCTCCTGTTTTGGAATACGTGTGTGTGTGTTTGTGTATACATATATACACACACATACATATATTTATATATAATACAGATAAAAGTAATAAATTCATTTAAAAAATCAATAATGGCTATTTCCAAATGGTAAAGATGCTATTTATTTTCTTCTCTGCAAATTTTCACTAGTTTCTAAAGTTTCTACCCGGAGTGTACACAACTGTTAAAATTAGTGTTACGTCAATGAAAAGACTGATATAAATCGTCTATGTACTAGGCAGCTTCACCTCGATCTTGGAACCTATTCTCCTAATATTCAGCCTGCCTGTAACTTAAACAGTTATAACCTGTATTTAAAATACCGACATAAAACACACACTCCAACAAGATATTTATAAAGCTATAATGTTTTTAATTATTAGACCAAAAATTCAAGTCCAATATGCCACAATGATAAATTTTTTGGAATCAGAACTTGTCTTTTACCATTCAGTCCTTGGGACTAAATGGTTCCTCAGTACATAAATCACACTTATAAGCTATTATTTTACTGCAGAAATTGCTGCTGAAACAATAGTCTTCGTGATATGAACACAAAATAGGGTAAAATGCCTTATAAACAAACGCCTAATTTCTCAGATTCCTACACGTTTTCTGAAGGGGCCAAAAAATTTAGATCCCACCCCCAAGTGGATGGGGACAATGGATTCTGAAGCTCTGTTTCTCAATCTGTGAAACAAGGGGGTTCACCAGATGTATATTCCACAAAAAGATTACTTCTGCTTCACTATCACTGGAGTCCGGGTGAGCCTGCACCAACCAGCTCCACAGCTAGGATGGGCGGGAAATCCCCGAAGCAAGAAACAGCCCCAAAGAGCTAGAAGAATATTCAGAGATGCGGCACACGGCTTCAGACCCCAAAGAATCCACCCGGTCTCCTTCCCTGTCGGAGGGAGGTCTGGTGGCGTAGTGCCTAAGGCACTTGACTGCTAACCCGAAGGCTAGCGGTTCAAACCCACCAGACACTCCTCGGAAAGGAAGGCTGGGCAATCTACTTCCGCAGTGATACTGCCCGTAAAACCCAAGGAGGGGTCGCTATGAGTCGGTCCGACTCCACGGCACATAACAACAACAACTCCTTCCCTGGGCACCGCCGCGAGGACCGAGGGTGGCAGGATGCAAGCAGAATTCTCCTCAGGAGAGAAGAGAGTCCTCGCGGCCGCTCCGCTTATTCCGAGACGCCTCCAGCCGCACAGCCAAGCGATCGCCGGCTCCCTGGAAGCCCGGCCTCCCGCAAGGACCCCTCCCGTCCCGCGGCGGACAGCTGCGTTGACCCGGGCTCACCAGGGGTCTGGTGCCATCGTGCAGTCTCAGGCTGGACCGCGGATACTTCCTCCTCGCGGCAGCTGACTACGGCGGCTCGCTCGGCTCATACTCCGCTGTCCGGGCCCTGCGCAACTGGAACCTAGAGTTTGCCAAGTAGATGGACACATTGCGCTAGGGCCTGAAAACTATGCTAAACAAAGAAAAGCCCTCCCCAGGTAACAGTAGGATGAAACGCAAACTGTTATGACAATTAAAATAAAATTGCCGTAGAACAGAATCTGAGCGGTTTCCGAGGAAGGTAGGAGCGCTTTAAGACCTCTCTCTGTTGTGGCTGTGTGCGGTGGAGTCGGTTCTGACTCATAGCGACCTTAGAGGACACAGTACAACTACCCCCTATGGTTTCCTGGCCTATAATCTTTAAGGAAGCAAATCGCCGGGTGTTGTCTCCTGCAGAGCCGCTGGTGGGTTTGAACCACCATCCTTTCAGGTAACAACCTAGCTCTTAACTATGTTGCTTAAAATGTTTATTCTGTTTCAAACAAGGGGTCCGACGAAGTGTCAATTATGTATTATGTTATAGCATTCTTCCCATCCGAGGATCCCTGGTGGCGCACTGTTTACGCGCTTACCTGCTAACCGAAAGGTCGGCGATTGGAACCCACCAGCCCCTCTGCAGGAGAAGCATGTAACAGTCAGCTTCCGTGAAGATTTACAACCTTGGAAACTCTACGGAACAGTTCTACTCTGTTGTCTGGGGTCGATATTGAGTCAGAAGCGACTCGACGGCAATGAATTTAGTGTTTTTGCTTTCCCATCAGAGATAATCGTCTACACGGGATTATTTTTTTTAATTCCACTAGATGCTTGATTATAGTTACCAAGACTGTCACAGACTCTAGGTAATGAGAGAGTGCCGGTTCTGTGCATTTAGTCACTGCTAAATTTCCTGAAAAATAGAAAGAAGTAGCCCTCCGTTTGCAAGTGTCATAGAGCGAGACCTGGAGCTCGGCTACCTAGTTTTCAGCAAGAGTGTTGATCTGGTGCGCATGCGCGCGTCCGTTACTATAACGACCAGAAGACGCTACACTGGCTAGGTGCCTGAGAGGAGAGTGAGCGGTGTTGTCTGGCGATGGATACCCAAACTTCGCCCGAGGCTGACGTGGCCGAGCTGGAGCTTGAGGCGGTGATCGGCTTCAATGGTGAGGCCTCAAATATCTATGTGCTGTGTAGTTTAGGAACCCCGGGGAGGTGTAGTGCAAACAGGGACAGTGAGACACCAGGCGGTGCCTGGGGTGGGGAGTGGGGGCAGCGTCATTGGCAAAAACCCTGGTCAGAGGCCCAGCCTGGGCTCTCGCATCCAAAGGCCTTGGAGAGTCACTTCCTCGCTCTTAGCTCGGACACCCTGTAGCATCTAAAAGGAACTAAATACCTCTCTGGTGGGAAGATGAGTAAGAGGGTGGGGGTTGGCTCTGGCCTTCTCCTACTAGGTCAGCCCTCCCTGGCTCTAAGCCCCACGCAGCCCTCAAAGCCCCTGTCCGTTGGTAATCACCCCACGCTGTCTGTGTTGGCTCCTAAGATCAACTAACAATTCTTTTCTACAATCCCGGCTGATGTACTAATGAGAAAGGGTTGGTAGGGGTGTGTGTCGGAGCAACCTCTTTAGAGGATGATCTTGGTCCTCTAACTCAAGAGAAGGATTTCAGGACACTGTAGAAATGGAGGGGATCCACGGGGAGCTGGAGGTAAGAGATGTTTTGGTCAGAAGAGGCCTTGTCACTCTGTTCAAATCTTATTTATGACTGCCTATTTGTTTTGAAAGGAGCTCTGGTGGTGTAGTGGATAAGGCATTTGGCTGCTGACCAGAAGGTCAGCAGTTCAAACCCACCAGCCACTCCAGAGAAGGAAGATGGGGCAATCTACTTCCATAAAGATTTACCACCTTGGAAACGCAATGGGGCTCACTATGAGTCAGAATCGACTCGATGGCAGTGAGTTCTGTTTTATTTTTATTTGTTTTGAATAAGGAGCCCCAGTGGTGCAGTGGTTAAAGGGTTGGCTGCTAATGGAAAGGTGGGTTCAAACTCATCAGGCCCGCTTGGCAGGAGAAGGATGTGGCAGTCTGCTTCCATAAAGATTAAATAAACCCAAAACCCACTGCCATCAAGACGATTCCTACTCATAGTGACCCTATAGGACAGAGTGGAAAGGCCCCTGGAGGGTTTCCAAGGCTGGAAATCTGTACCAAAACAGATTGCCACGTCTTTCTTTCATGTAGTAGCTAGTAGGGTGCAGGCGGTGGACTTTTTGGTTAGCCACTGAGCACATAACCACTGCACCATCAGGCCTCCTCTCTGTAATGATCACAGCCTTGGAAATGCTATGGGACAGTTCTACTCTGTCCTGTAGGGTCACTATGAGTCACAAACCACTGGACAGCAACAGTTGGATTTTGAATTGCTTAGAACATAAAGGCAGGAAAATGCTGTGGAGTTGTTTTTTCAGGGAGTGGATTGAGGGATAGAAAAAGCAATGGATTATACTTTAGAAAAAGCAAAATCTTCTTTTTTGAAGAAAGCATTGAGATGCCTGAAAGCTTTAAAACTGTGATAATGTGGGATGCAGAACAACCAATGCCTTTTTAATGCTTTAAGCACATTCTGGAACTTGACTCTTGACTCTTATCTTCATTTTACTTTGTCTCTGATAAAAAGTGGGCACTCAGTATACACGAATTTTGGCCCAACTTTAGAGCTGTAAACGTAGTGAGTGGCCAGCAGTGAGTGCAAAAGGCACTAGTGAACCAGTATAGATCCTCACATAAACAGCTCTGTGATGGAATTCATGCTCTAAGAGTAACCATATGATCATTTGCATCCCATTGTCTTTTACGGCCTTTACAAATTATCTTTGCTTTTTAGAAATGGCTTGAATTGATTGAATTGTTTTTTACTTTCTTGGTTTCATGATCATAGCTTTTCCTTCATGTGGGCAAACATACATTTATTGAGAAATATGATATGTCAAATAGTATGCAATGTGTGAGGATTCAGGGATAAATCCATAATCTTCCTTAGGAAGATGAGTTTAGAAAATTGGAAAAATACAGTGAAACAAACAGAAAAATCAACCGTCATTACTCTTCCTAAAGATAACTCTGGTAAACTTTTGGTGTGATCTGTTCATCTATACACTTACAAATAAATATGTTTTTAAATAAAAGTAGATTCATGCTGTATATATTTCTCTTGTAACCAGATCTTCTTCCACTTAATAGTATGCCATGCAGATTTTTCCTTAGCAACAAATATATTCTTCGCCATATTTTTAATATACTCACTGCCATCAAGTCGGATCCAACTCATAGCGACCTCTCCTTGGGTTTCCAAGGCAGTATCAGTACAGAAGTAGATTGCCCAGTCTTCCTTCCGAGGACTGGCTGGTAGGTTTGAACTGCCAGCCTTCTGGTTAGCAGTCAAATGCCTTAGGCACTATGCCACCAGAGCTCCTTATTTTTAATATAGTGTTTTTAATATAATATTCCATTATATAGGTATGCTATAAGTATCAAAGCAATATCCTGTTATTAAGAATTTAGCATAATTTACATTTTTTGCATTTATTTTTACATGCTACGAACAACATCTTCCTAGCTAAATCTTTTGCCTTTGTAACTCTTCTTCTTAGGATAAAATCTGAGTACATGTTAGACTTTTGATGTATCTTCCAAATGCTGTATCATGTACACAACAGAAATGTGTATATATAGGCAGAGAAAACACACAGGAATATTTATAGTAGCACTATTTGTAATAGCCAAAAAAATATGTAAACAGCCAAAATACCCATCAAAAATAGAAAGGATAAATAAACAGATATATCCACACAATGGATTTATACCGTAATAAAAAAGAATGAACAACTACTACATGCAACAACATGGTTGAATCTCACAAACATAACATTGAGTGAAAAAGCCAGACACAGTGATTCCTTCCGTATGAAGTTCTAAAACAAGGAAAATTAATCTACAGGAATAAAAGTTAGAACCATGAATACCTTTGAAAGGGAGATGTACATGGGGGAGGGGCCCACAAGGGAGCCTTCTGAGGTTTTTTGCAATTTTGTCTTCAGTGAAAGAAGACAAAACTTAACATTCTAAACCATTTCTCAGTGAGTTGATTCTAATTCATGTAAGCCCCATGTGTGTCAGAGTTGACTCGTGCTCCATAGGGTTTTCAATGACTGATTTTTCAGAAGTAGACTAACAGGTCTTTCTTCTACAGCATTTGGGTGGACTTGAACCACCAGCCTTTTAGTTAGTAGTGCATATGTTAAGCATTTGCACCACCAAGAGACTCCATGGCTATACTACCACTCATAAAGGAGAATAGGCAAAGCTTTATGAGAACTGGCAGAAAGATTCTATGTTAGGCTCAAGAGAGATCGAGGAAGGGTTAATTCAAGCAGCCTGTAAAATTGGGTATGAGTCAATGGGTAAAGATTGAGGGGCAGAATATTCCAGGAAGCAAGGGGAGGATGAGCAAAGGAGGAAGGGTGCAAAGTGTGGGGACTGGTTAAACAATGGCAAAAGGCTGTTTGGCTTCAGGGTCAGAGACTGTCAGGATAACAAAGGAAAGTCAGCCTGGAGGTAGAACTACCTTTACCATTGAGTTGATTCCAACTCATGGTGACACCTGTGTATCAGAGTGGAACAGTGCTCCATAGAGTTTTCTTGGGCTGGTAACCAGGCCTTTCTTCTGTAGAGACACTTGGTAGGGTTAGACAGGCAACCTTTGAGTTGGTAGTCATCCCAAACCATTTGTACCATTCATAGTGACTTACAGGACTGGGTAGGATAGCCTCATATGGTTTCCAAGGCTGTAATCTTTTTATGGAAGCAGACTGCCTAATCTTTCTCTCACAGAGCAGTTGGTGTGTTTGAACCTCTGACCTTTTGATTAGCAGTCAAGCACTTAACCACTTTCCCACCAGGGCACCACGAGGCATGAACACAAAGGAAAAAATAGATGCCACATGAAGATCAGCTACAAGCCAAAATCACCAAGAAACCAAGCAATGCCTGAGGCTAGAGACAAGGAAGGACTCCCTGATTTGAACTTTTAGCCACCAGAACTAAGAAACTAAATTTCTTTCTTTAAAGCCACTCACTTGTACTATTGGTGTTACAGCAGCACTGAGTATTTCTATGTTGTTGTTGTTGTTGTTGTGTGCCGTCAAGTTGGCCCCGACTCATAGCGACCCCTCCTTGGGTTTCCGAAGCAGTATCACTACGGAAGTAGGATTGCCCAGCCTTCCTTCTGAGGAGTGGCTGGTGGGTTTGAACTGCCAGCCTTCTGGTTAACAGTCAAGTGCTTTAGCCACTATGCTACCAGAGCTCCTGAGTATTTCTATAGGCATTCATTATTTAAACAAATCAAATATTTGTGTTGAACATGAAAACATTTGCTAAAACTGTAGTTATTAAAAGTTTGGTATTAGCACAAGAATATTTACACTCATCAATTGACTGGAATAAATAGCCCAAGAATTTCCTATTATATAAAGAGCTCTTACAAATTAGAAAGGGAAATAGCCAGTATATCAGGGGTCTGCATACTACAGCGTGTCAGCCAAATCTGGACTACTGCCTGTTTTTGTAAATAAAGTTTTATTGAAACAGAGCCATGTCAATTTGTTTGTTTATTGTTTATGGCTGATTGCATGCTATAACAGCAACATTGAGAATAGGTAGTCTCCAGCTTACAACATATTCAAGTTGTGATGAACTCCATTTATGGGAGCTCTGGTGGTATAGTGCTTAACGCATTGACTGCTAACCAAAAGGCTGGAGGTTCAAACCCACCAGCCACTCCTTGGAAGGAAGATTGGGCAATCTACTTCCATAGTGATCTTGCCTCAGAAACCCAAGGAGGGGTTGCTATGAGTCAGATCCGACTCCACGGCAGTGAGTTTGGTTTTTTTGGTTTTTTGGTCTTTTTTTTGTACATCTTATCATTAGTAATTACGATTTACTGTTCAAAACACTGCCATGCATGCATGCCATGTGGCAGGCTGTGGCCTGGTGTACAATGAAGTCAGTGTTGGTGTTGATGTAAGGAGTCATAACAGATATATAGCTGGGCAATGTTCAACTCTAATGACATACAATTAAACTGTACACACACCCAACAGCTGTTAT